AGGGACTCTCGACAACTGATGATTGTTGATCAGCGAGCGCGCGCGCATTATATTTTGCAAAGGATGGCGGGGGGGGGGGGGGGCGGGCGCCGCTTGGGCCGGGGCGGTGCGGACTTACATTTAACGCGGGTGTTGGGGCAATGCGCAAAGGGGGCGATATAATCGCGAAGGAGGGGGGTGGCCTCTTTTCTCTCTTAGGGAGGAGAATCTACGCGGCGCAGTCTGTGCGGCGCAATCGATGTAGTTCAATTTTGGCGGGGCCATCTACCTTATGTTCCGCAATCTACGTTGTGTAAGTCACCTTGCCGAACTTGAAATTGTCGACTCCACTGCTAGCGCAATCATCCCACCAAACCACCCGCATCTTTGTTCGCAACGCCCATGCGACGGCGATTGCGATGAGTGCTCGGCGTTGGCTGGCGCATCCCTGCGGCCGCGCTAGCCTGCGCATGATCGCGCGCGCAGCGGCCAACTAGTTTGGCGCGACCGACGCGAACGCGGTGGCGCTGACCGCTCGCCACATCCCAACAGGCAAGTCAATGCGAGTCGTTGACTCGGGCGGGCGTGGTATCATGGCAACGTCGACAACGGTAGACACGATGACGGTAGGTAGTAGCGATGCGGGTGGCGATGCTGCGCGGGTGCTGATCACGCCGTCGGCGATGACGACGTCCTCGCGTCGGCGATGAAGGTTTTGGAAAGAACTCGACACGTGCGCGCGCCCGACGCGCGAGAGCGGCCGCATGGTCATATTTGACACAGATCGCGCCCCCCCCCCCCCGGCCCCCCCCCCAGCACGCGCGCAGGGGCGTTCGAATGATGTCGGCACGCGGCGCGACAGGTCCGCTTGGCTGAATTCAATGACAACAAAAAACACATATGGCTTTTCTTTAGAATTCGCAAGAGCGCGCTCGCAAGTTTTTTGAACACTGAAGTTGCGGAACCATGTGTGTTCGTATGTTCCGGAACACTCGATTCTGAAACCCTTAAGACCCAACGATGTTTGACTGATGTCGGCATGCGCGCGCGACAACGCGCGCGCGTGCACTTCGTCCCACTGGTGCAAGGGAGTATTGCGACAGCGCGCGCGCAAAAGGCTTTTTGGTGGCGCGCGCGAAGCAATTTTGGTAGCATGTTATTAAAATGGTGATAAACCAATGGTTTCTTAAGAATTCGCAAGAACGCGCGCAAGGTTTTGTTCAACAGCCCGTGCTGCGAAACAATGTGTTGTTGTCTGTGTTTTGGGAACTCGATTTTGAAATCCGTACGAAGCCGATAGTCTTTGAAGGATTCCAGCATGCGCGCGCAACGACGCGCGCGTGTGTACTTCGTCCCATATGTTGCAAAGGACGTTTGAAAACTGATAATATGTGACAAACGAATGCGCGCGCATAGTATAGTTTGCAAAGGATGGCGGGGGGGGGCGGATACCGGCTGGGCTGGGATGGTATGAACTCATTTAGGATGGGCGATGGGGCAGAATCGTATGTACATTGCACATCCCCAGGAGGAGCGAAAAATCTGGCATCGGGGGGGTGGTAAAATTTAATATTTTAAAATATTACGCAATGTCTCCATAACTGGCCAAGATGGCCCCGAAACGGCCCAAAAGGTGCCCAAGACAGCCCGAGAGGCCCCCCAAACAGCTCCAAGAGTGAATATATCGAGCTCTCGGCCCCGGGAGGCCCCCAGAAGGCCCCAAGAGGGCCAGGAGTCCGCCGAGAGCCCCAGAGGCCACCAGGAGGCCCCCATGAAGCCCGAAGAGGCCCCCAAGAGGCTCCCGAGAGGCCCCCAAAGGCTCCCAAGAAACCCCCAAATAGCCTCCAAGAGACCCCCGAGAGCGCCCCCGAGAGACCCCAGGAAACATCCCTGAGGACTCCGACCCGCAACCCCGGCACGGTGGCGAGATAGGCCAAAGGCCATTCGACATGTTGTGCAATATATGTAGTTAGCGCAATCGACGCTGTTCAATGTTGGGTGGCAGCGGGGCGGCGAATGCGAGCACAGGGCCGCCAGACCGCCACCCAGGCCCAGCTCCTCAAACAAAAATCCGCCGATCCGGCGTGTGAACTACAAGGAGCCTCAGCAAGAGCTTCAGCTCTGAGCCTAAGCAAGAGCTTCAACTCTGCTTGGGGGGGGGCCGCCGGCGTGGCTCTGCCGGGGAAGGGGGAAGGGGGGGGGGGTCGTCTAGAGTTTTCTGCATTATTTGCGCATCCCCCTGATGTTTCGGGGGGCCCCAGGGTCGCCGGGATGCCTCTGCCAGGGAAGCGAGAGAGGGGGAGGGAGTTTCCATCTGGCGATTTCTGCATGACTTCCGCATCCCCCACATGTTTCGGGAAGTCCCACAGACGCTGGGTGGCTCTGCCGGGGAAGGGAGGAAGGGGGGGGGCCTCTGTCTGGCGTTTTCTGCATGATTTGGGCATCCCCCAGGATGTTTCTTTCGGGGGGTCCCGCGGTCGCCGGGGTGACTCTGCCGGGGGAGCGGGGAAAGGGGGGGTGTCCTCCATCGGGCGGTTTCTGCATGATTTGCGCATCCCCCAAATGTTTCGGGGGGTCCCGCGGTCGCCGGGATGGCTCTGCCGGGGAAACGGGGGAGGGGGGGGGCTCCATCTAGCGTTTTCTTCATGATTTGCGCGTCCCCCAGATGTTTCGGGAGGTCCCAGGGTCGCCGGGGTGGCTCTGCCAGGGAAGCGGGGGAGAGAGGAGGCCACAGAGCCGAGAAGATCACTAAATCCGCAGCCCCCCGCATCGGCGGCACTGGCTGGAGGCCATTACAATAAGAAACCCTATGTGCAAGCACTGTTTTGGGAAAGGCACTGCCCCAGGCGCAGAACATCACATGAATTGAGCTTACCTTTTCCCCTGACCTCCAGAAGCTTGAACGGCTTTGCAGGCGAAGGGCCTCGGTGCCTCCGCTGGCGGCCCCCGCAAAGCCACGCCCCACGGCGCGTCGCTGAAGGCCGCGCAAGTGGCACCAGAGCAGAGGGGGGCCGCAGGGTCGCACCACACCGCCGATGCATCGGTGATGCAAAGGCAGCGCTGGGATATGGAGAAGATCGGGCCTACAGATCGAGCCAAATCGCCGATGTATCCGCGATGCGGCGCGACGCTCGGGGACGCGCCGGCCCGGCTGACAACGCCGACCCCTGTCGGCCGGGGCCGTGCCGCGGGGCCACGTCGCCAGCCGCAGAGCAGACCCCCAACCCTGAGCAGTGGAGGGAGGGGGGGCGAGGCGAGGCGAGGCGAGGCGTCTCCCAATTCGCCCGTGAAGGCGGCTGCGCGCGGGGCTGCGAGCGGGCGCCTGGGCGCCGCTCACTCAGTCGAGGATGAACATGTTTCAGTGTGTGCGGTGCACGTAACCATCCTCCACTTGGATTGAGACCACAAGTCGTTGGGGGGGCGGCTGGCCTCGGTGACTCCCAAACCTGGGCTGGCCACGGGGGGTCGGAGGGGGCCAGCTGGCCCCCGCTCAACGCTGGCCCCCAGTGCCCAGACATCTGGCGACATCTGGCCCCAGAACTCCCTCCCCCTCCCCCTCCCCCCAGAAAGGCTCGTTTAGCGCCCCGGGCGCACTCTGGGTTGTCCCGCGGGGCGGGAGGCCGAACTGCAGGAACACCGCCGCGATCGAAAAAATCGCAGAACCGTCTCAGATATGGGTTACGCGCCCCCCGAGGACCCTACGACCCCACATGCTCCGGCTCTGGCTGGGCGGCCTGGAGCTCAGCGGCCAGCTCATCAGAGGCGTCCCACGAGGGGGACGTACCAGAGGGGGGTTGGCAAACCGTGGCCCAAGGCGTGTGCGAGGATGAAGGGGTGACCAAGAAGAGAGAGGCATGAGATCTACAGAGATACCACGGCCCCGGCCATGATTTCCCCCCCCCTACCCCTGGTCATCAGCCCCGTCTGAGACCCCACTGTCAAGTCAGGATTTCGGGTCATAAGTTCGGCCGCGGGCGGCCGTTCGGAAACATGCAGGCACCCCCGGAAAGCTCTCGACGAGGCGCAGCTAGAATAGGAAGCAACCCTCGAGCACGCGCTAATGTGGATTAGAGATCCGTGGATCTGGTGCGCGGGCGCCAGATCCACGGATGGGCAAAAGCACCTCCCGAAACATGGCGCCAACGCCGCCAGAAACGAAGCGCTTTGGTGTGGAAACGGGACCCGTCGCTCATCCACGCGCCTTCAGCGTTTCCTCAAATCCCGAAACAGGAAGACTTCCAAGATCTAACAGGAACCTTTTTTCTGGCGTTGGCGGGACTGGTTTTAGTGGGACCTGATTCAGTGATATGCACTAGGGGGACGACCCCCCCGCTCCACTGCACCAATTCACCAGAAATGCAGCCACCCGAAAAAAAAACAACTACGGCAGACTTGGTTAAGTGATGATGTTCAACTTATGGGCTTCGGATCCCAATCACTAACTAACTAACTGGCAACCCTCGTCCTGGCCATATCCGAACCTTCCTCCCCCACCCATCCCCCTTCGACGTCGAACGCGTATTTACCCTCCTCGTCCGGCTTCGCGCAAGAGTCACCCTATAGGCCCCAACTATGATATACACCCCACCTAGTCATCACCCGCCTGTTGGCCGCCCCTTGTCGTTGTCGCTTTGTTGGTTGGGTCGAGACTCGGCTCTCCAGCGGCCTCTCGGGACGATCTGGGCAGCCCCAGAAAACTCTCGACGAGGCGCAACTGCTGGAAAGCATCCCGAGGTTTGGAACACCGCCAAGAACCAACGAAAACGCCCGAACAACTTTCGATTATCCTCAGAACGTGTGTGTAACGCAGACGTGTGTTTGTCTACTGGGTCCCTCCAGTGCGACGCAGGCGGTGTAGCTGATGAGGGCCCAACACGGGCTGCGTGCCGTCGACTGTGCTGAACTGGGCAAACGCACATCCTGAAAATCATCGAACCTCGAACGCCGAAGACTTCCAATATCCCCCCTCTCCTGGCTGCCCCCGAAGCCCTGGCGCGCCGGGCGGAGCTGGGCGGAGGAGCCTCCGGGTCCAGCGCGAGCGCCCCCGAGGCGACGGTGGTGTGCAGCTTGGCAGCCGCGCTGAAGGCCGCGTCCTCCCGGCCGGGCACACAGGGAGCTGCTCGCGCTCGGGCCGTCCAGGAGCTCGCGCAGGGCAGCCTCGGGCCCATCTTTGCGCTCAGGGGGGCCCTTTTCGGAGACCTCTTCGGCCCTTGTTGGTGCCGTCTGGGCCGCCTTCGGGCCAAAACGAGCGCCAATGACACTGATCCGTTGGTAATGATGACGGGCATCGATCAGCCACACCACACGGCAAACCTGAGCCCACTCGGCGATGGGAAGGAAAAGAGTCGGATCGCAGGGAGAAGTTCAAACAAACGCGCACGCACAGCACACACACACACACACACACACACTGTTTGGCGTCTCGGCCTCGCGCGCAGCGCCGAGGCGGAGAAAGTCGAAGAGCGGAAAGCGGGAGACGCGCGGCCGGCCCGCGCAGAAGCCGCGGGCAGGAATCACACACACACACACAAGCACACTCACTCACACCTGCGGGAAGATTATTTCCCCATGTTCGAAGTATGTTCATCCCATCGTTGAGCCGCCTTCGCCTCTGCTGGCGACAACTGGAATGGACGGGCGGTGTATTTTTTGTCGGCAGCCGCAGGCGAGAGCGCAACAGCGGCGAGTCAAAGTCCGGGCGGGTCGCGCGAGGGGCCAATTAAACAAACAGAAGCAAGCCTAACACCGCCACTCAGAACGGGACCAGGAAATCGCCGAAGAGGAAGCGGGGCTGCGGCCAGGCGTTGCAACCGTGCAACGAGCTGCTGCTGCTGGACGGGCGGTGTACGCGAAGCGACTCAAATAAGGAGTCAGGACAGTTAAGATCAAACAGCTCTAAAATGTGCCCAGCACAGGAGCCCTGTTTTCGAGAAAAAGACACATAATACCCCGACATCTGTGTACGTGCTCAAGTTCAAAGTCTGGTCATTACATCTGAAGAGTTCTCGCGCGAGAGCCCCAGTGTGGAAAGGAGCCGACCTCCATCAATGCAGCTGTTACATCGACCACCCTTGGAGTGAAGAGGAGGTTGGGGATGGATGGATGCAGCATTCGATTGGCGAGTAACTTCGGGCCGGGTTTGCGATCTGTCTAACAATATCCATACCTATAGGTCAATCGATGTAGCTGTTGGTAAAAGTACCAAGCTCGATATACATACATGGATGTAGACGTATACACATGCATACATATATATATATGTGTGCATGCACCCTTACATATATATACACATACATACATATATACATACATACATACATACATACGTATATACATACATACATACATACATACATACATACATGCATGCATGCATACATACATACATACATGCATACGTACATAGATGCATACATACACACATACATACATACATACATACATACATACATACATTACATACATACATGTATACATGCATGCATGCATACACACATACATGTATGCATACATGCATACATACATACATGCATGCATGCATGCCTGCATGCATACATACATACATATATTACATACACATATACATACATACGTACATACATACATGCATACCTACATACACACATACACACATACACACATACATACATACATACATACATACATACATACATACATACATACATACATACATACATACATAGATACATAGATACATACATACATACATACATACATACATACATACATACATACATACATACATACATACATACATGCATAGCTACAAACGATCATACATACATACATGCATATATACATACACACAAACCGAATTACTTACACACATACATACACACATACACTCATGCATGCATACATATTTCCCCCCCCCCAGCGCAACAATTTTGGAGAAGAGGGAGGAGGGACAGGGGGGAGAGCGGACCAACGATGAGCACCGTACCACAACGTGCGTCCTCTCGGTGACAAACTGGGGCTCCAACCCAAGCACACAGTCTGCAGCTACTGGCGAAAGCGAGAGCATGCCGAGTTGAAACGCGCAGCAAAAACGGGGGTGGACTGCAGATTCCCGCGTCCGCCGATGCATTCAAATGGTCGCGTCCATAATGTGCTACGGGATGCCGCACAAAATGGGAGAAGGCAAGGCGTGAACAAGGCGTATGCATGCATACATATATGCATCCACACAACCGTACATTCATACACTTCATTAATACAAGCAAGCAAACAACCAAACAAACGATCAAGCAGACACACATACATACATACACGCATGCATGCATACATAAGTGCATACATACATGCATACATATACACGTATACAATGGCGTGTCTAGATGATATATTCGTCTGCCGATCCCACGATCAATATGCCCATCAACCAAACTACTGATATAATCGTATGTCGCGCGCGCGTGGCGACCCTGGGGGGGTCCCCATACGAAAATTACCCTGGCAAAGGTCTCGGCAAGCTCCGGGCAGGGTCGGGCCGAAGATGCAGGAACTCTTGGGCGCGGCCTCGGGGCCCCCCCGAGCGCCCCAATGAGGCGCCAGAAGGGTGGCACGCCCCACGGCCTCAGGCCAAGAGCATTCCAAGATGGCCCGCGTTGGTCCCAAGACGGCCCACGAAGCGGGCAAGAAGCTCCAGGAGGGTTCCAAAAGGACTTCGAGAGGCCCCGAAGACGCACAAAAAATAGACTTCGCCGGGATTTTCGGACGATTTGGGCGGCACCGCCTTTTCGAGCTGCCGAGCGCCCTGGACGGTCCAAGAGTCCACGGTCGCTCCAAGACGGCCCACAAAGCATCCAAGAGAGCCCCAAAATGGCCCAACATGGCCATGACACTGCCCAAGAGGCCTCCAAGACGGCCCCAGGATGGCCCCAAGAGGGGGCCCAGGGGGGGAACCCGAACAGACATTTCGAGCTCTCGGCCCCAAGCGCCCCCAGAGCCCCCCAAGAGCCCCCAAAGAGGCCCCAAGAGGCCCCCAAGAGGCCGAGGCCCCCAAGACCCCCAACAGGCCCTCAGGACGCCCCAAGAGCCCCCACGAAGCCCCCAACAGGCTCCCCAGAGGCCTTAAAACTTCTCCCCAGAGGTTCCCGAGAGCCTTCCGAAGAGACCCCAAGAAGCAGCCACGAGGACTCTGGCTCACAACCCAGTCTCGAAACTCTGATGGAGCTCTGAGCCTTCTTGGCGCCCGCTGGGGCAGTCTATCGGCTTTCTTCGACGGGGTGCGAGCCACATCTCCAAAGATCTCCTCGAGGACAGTCCTGCCTGCCCTACCGTTCCCCATGAATACGAGCACACAACCACGCAGCCACCGTGATGCGAAGTGGGCCGGCGGAGTGAGGCGCCACAGTCAATATATCGATCACGCTATCCATGTATAGGCCGATCGCATCAATTATTGGTCTGACAACTTATCTACCAACACCACGATCAATCAATGTGTCAGGATGACGCCTGTTGTATCTATCGAACTATCACGATTATATATACAGGTCTCACTATGTACCGATATCGCTACCAGCATAGGTCGATATCACGATCTATCGTGACGACCATCGGGACAACCATTGATCGCTAGGACCATCAATGCTGACAACCATCGGGACAACCCGCGGGACAAACATCGGGGCACTCATTAAGACAACTATTGGGACAACCAACGGCACACCCGTCGGCACAATCGTCGGGGCAACCATCGGGATAACCACCGGGATAACCATCTACTGGCAAAACCATCAATGGGGACAACCGTCAGGACGACCAGCGAGACAAGCATCGGGACAGCTATCGAAACAACCATCGGGACAACCAGCGGGACACCCATTGGGACAACCATTGGAACAGCGGTACAACCATCGGCACATTAGTCGGGCCAAGCATCGGGACAACCATCGGAGCTATCATCGGGACAACCATCGTACCAACCCTCGGGACAGCCTGGGGGCAGCGGTGGATCACGATCTGGGGCGCCTCACATTAGCCTGCCCTAGCCCGAGCAAGGGCAGGAACTCGCGCAGCTTCGCCTCGCCTCGCCCGCACGCACGTCGAGCACGAAACAAAGCGAGTTCCCGGTTAAGGCATCTCACGTTCCACTTCGGTCTCACCCCTCAACTTCCGATGTTCGAAAATCTGGTCGAAAGACCGAGGAAATCCCGAGCGAGAACCTCATTTAAAAAAGGAACCGTACTCCTGGGCGGCAGACCCTTTGTGAAAATGATCCGCCCTCCATCTTTCATTGCAAGCGTTTGACGAATGTGCGCGGCGCTAAGGAGACAATTCAATCTTGAACGACACCACCCTCCATACTTGGAACTGTTGCAAGCTTTGAAACCCAAAATGCGCCGCGGTAAACCGAACACCCCATTCAAAACCACCAACCCTCCATCCGTGAACAAATTGGAAATTTCAAGACTCAAGACAAGATCGTTAACTGTGAAGAAATCGTAGGCTGAACGCCCAATTCGCGCTACAGGCACGTCTGGTGGTGCGACAGGAAGAGCTATACAAGGAGAAAACGTAAAAGGAAGAGGAGGAGGAGGAGGAGGAGGAGCAAGCAGCAGCAGCAGAAGGACAAGAAAGGAGGAGGAGGAGGATGAGGATGAGGAGGAGGAGGAGGAGGAGGAGGAGGAGGAGGAGGAGGGGGAAGAAGGGAGGGAGGGGAAGCGAAACGAGACCCAATGAAGACCTCTGGGACCGCGCCCGACGCGCCAGTCGGAGCGGGTCCTGAGCGCAGCTTCGGGCCAAGAAGTTCAGGAGCCTGGGGTGCCAGACGTGGTGGCAGAGCTTCAGCTCGTCCCACCAACACCTCGGACTGGCCCAGATGCTCCTCGTCCGTCGTCCCTCCTCCGTCGTATCTTCCCCAATCCTCATCGTCGGTCGATCCCCCCCTCCTCCACCTCCTCCATGTCCATCCTCCTCCTCCACCTCCTCCACCTCCTCCTTATCATCCTCCTCCTCCTCATCATCATTATCACCCTCACCATCACCATCACCATCACCATCATCAGCATCATCGTCATCAGAATCATCATCAGCATCATCATCATCACCATCACCATCACCATCACCATCACCATCACCATCACCATCACCATCACCATCATCATCATCATCATCATCATCATCATCATCATCATCATCATCACCATCACCATCACCATCACCATCATCATCATCATCAGCATCATCAGCATCAGCATCATCAGCGTCATCGTTATCATCATCAGCAGCATCATCAGCATCATCATCCTGATCCTGATCCCGATTTTGATCCTGATCCTGATCTTCATACTCATCCTCCGCCACCTCTTATCCCTCAATTTCCTAGCCCTCTTGGTAATCCCCGTTTTCTTTATAAATGCGCCGATATTAAGATCAACCTCTGGTCTCTTACAGTTGAGCCCAAGCGTATCATGGATGTTCACATGTCCTGTGGAAGAAGATCGATAACTCACGTTTGTATTTCACCGCGGTTAGTGGAAGCCTCTGGAGGCCGCCAGAGTCGCAAAAACGTATAACGTCATCTGGGCGCCCGGCGAGTAATGTAAGTCCACCGACCCAGTCGGCGTTCGTGAGGGGGAATCCTGGAGGGGTCGTCCAAGGGTGTGAGGGGGGGCGTTAGGGGGGGCCCGGCTAAGGAGGGGAAACCATCAACCTGGAATCGGCGATACATCGCCGATTGATCGGCAACCGATAGCGCATCCGCACGCTCCCGGGTGGGATGGGGCTACCAAGCCCCTATCAGCGATCAACGGGCGATAGGGGATCGAATCCCCCCTGAGCCTACGTACCGCCCCCAACGTTCCCCCTGAGGCTGGTCCCAAGAGACACTTTTCCATCCTAAGCGCTCCCCCTTCGCTCCCCCTTTCCCTGCGACCCCCTGGGGCTCCCCGAGCAAGCAGGTGAACTGAACCAGGTCATGATCGAGCCGAGTCGAAGGAAAGTCTCTGCCCTTTGATCCCTTCCCCGCTGGGGGAGGGGGTCCTGGGAGGGGGTCCTGGGAGGCGGTGCACCCTGCGGACCCCTCCCATCCTGGAGTGACTCGGGCGATCTTCGGGCTAGTTTGGCCACCTTGGGGCCTCCCAGGCCCGCCAACTACCTCCCGCGGACAATCTCGGCCAAATTCGTGGCCGCTCAGGAGTCTCACAGACCTTCCTGCAGGCTTGGGGGGGCGACCCAAGAGGCCAGAATCGGCTGAATTTTTAGGGTATGTGCATGATCTGGACATTCTCGCTAGATCGGTCGCTGGCACCAGCGTCCATGACGGCCCACGAAGCCAGAGGCAAGAGGACCCCAGGAGGGGCCCGGGAGGCCCCCAAGACGGTCCAGGGAGAGGCCAGAAGGCGCGCCATCGACGCACCGCTAGAGGCCAGCCCCTTCACCAATCCCAAGACTCCCAAGACGCCCACACGAGCCCACCAGATGGCCCCAAGGCCTGTGGAACATGACCCAGACGCACGCCAGTTCCGGCACTGGCGCCTGGGCTGCTCGCCTCTGCCAACACCCCTCCTGGAGGACCACGCCGACGACGACGACGACGCCGACGACAACGCCGACGCAAAACAACGAGGACGACGCCGACGCCGACGCCGAGGACGAGGACGAGGACGAAGATGAGGACGAGCACGAGGGCCAGGACGAGGACGAGGACGAGGAGGACGACGACGAATGCGACGAAGACGACGACGGCGATGAGCGCGACGACGACGAGGGCGACGGGAGGCGGCGCCCCGTGTCCGCGCCAGCGCAGCCGAGGAGCAGCCGGAAGTCAGTCAGGAAC